TGCCTCTGTATTTATTTTTGAAGCATCGTGTCTTTTAGCATGGCTTTGGTTGGCTGTTAAAACACACAGTATGGTCTGGAGAAAGCATGTAAAATTTTGCCTTTACTATTCAAATTCATAAGATTTTCTTTGAGGGGATGTGGGATATGTTCGATCACAGGTAACAGAGCATGTTTGTGCTAGTCAGGTAATTTAGCTTCTGATTCTTCCCAAAGCCATATAGTGAACAAATTTTAAATCAGCTGGAACTGTATTACATAGGAAAAATACTTCATGTGACAGTAATTATAAACTATTTCATGAATCAAGGAAATTAGTTCATTAAATCTAATCTTCATTGAAAGCTCTTTGGATGTACTAGGAAAGAACTAATCTGTTCCAAACATAGATGTTTCCACATACCACTCAGTTTATGTTTTCCTCCTGTCTTTTTCACCCCTCGTGCCTGCCCTCCTCTATTGCTATGGGGGAGAACAGCTGGCCTCCTGACCTTTATTGTAATGTTATTTGAGTTAGCAGGCAGACCATGCACAAGAGTAGAGAGCTCTGTTTCCTTTTTCCCATCGCAAGTGTGCTGCTTGATGGTAATAAAAGTGAACACCACCAGCGCTGTGCATGTTACAGAGCCCGACCAGTTTGTTCGACCATGAACCAGATTATCCACATTGCTTAGATCTTCTAGAATGGGTGGCTGTAGCATAAAGCCCTGAAGGACATGACAGAAGCCCTGAAGGAGATACAGCTGTGGTGCCAGACTGTGGGATCTTAGTGCTGAGCTCACTTTGTAGTTGTTTTGGTCTGTTCTTTGTGTCTCTTCCATCACTTTAGCATTGCTTTGTAAGTGTATTGGTTTGACTTTTAAAGTACATTACAGCCAAAGGAAAAGTTCCTTCTAGTAGGTAAGACCATCAAAACATGTTTTAGAGGATTTGCCTCTTTCTTCTAACTTTCTCTTTCGTTCCCTTGGTTCATGTAATAGTGATTCTGTTGCCCAAGTTACAAAGGGCTAACAGCAGCTTTAAGCAGTTACATGAAGCAAGGGAAGATGACATGGGAGCAAGGAGAGGTAAGAAAGGAAGGAGTTATTTCTCAATTCATACGTGTTCTTGTTCCAGAACTTACAGCTATCTCAGTTACCCTGATCTCTCTGAGCAGCCTTCTGTGTAATGTTTAAATGATAAAAAGAGAAGGACTGCGAATGAATGTAAGTGCTGGGCAGGAAAAGGATTTCTAACCCATGCCTGAAACTTCAAGGCTTATCTTAATTTATACAATAATAATACCACCACCTAGCATAGCTTTTGGTGACTTCAAAGCATTCTGCAGACATATTTTTCTCAAGGCTGCCTTTATGAACTGGAAAACTACTTTAATTGATACTAAATCTGATGGACAAGCAGCTGAAGAGGTAGAATTTGGGGTTTGACAGTAGTTTTTAGAGAGGGAAGATGCGAGATGGAAAACACTTGCCATATCTTCTATCTTTACAGAGCTCCGAAAGTTAAACTGTAGCCCTTCTTTGACAACTTCATGCTGTGCTAACGCACTTGTTTATCTCTCTCTTTAATTTTGAGGCAATAACTATTGTTCCAGGGAAGTGAATTCTTCTGCAACATGTGGTACAATACCAGCTATGCTTAGAAATCTGTAGCGAGGTCTGACTGTTTGCTCCGAAATCATTACTGTGTGCAGTGTCATTTTGATTATTAGTAATTCAGGTGCCTAAATGCCTATGTAACAAGGTTTAGCCAATTGATGATGGATCTTTGTCTCCAGTAGGGCATTCTTTTAAGACTGGCTAATTCGGATGGCTTTCCATTACCACTTCCTGTGATCCCAGAATACAGGGAGCAAATGGTTTAGCGATTAATGTTTTACAAATACTGACATATATACAAATAATTGACCCCGTGTTCCTGGTATTCCACCCTGTACATTGACTTGGATATACGTAAAACTGAGAGAGCCCAAAATAACACTGGTGGACATGATACTGAATGGAAAATGCAGATCAGTACATTAAGAAAAGACAGAGCAAAAGTTGGAGAACTATAAAAGAGAGTTATATTTAACCTGGTGTTCACTAAAACGTTTGGATCCTACTTGAGAGTATTACCATTCTCTGAGCTTTGTTTTGCTTTATTTTTCCCAAATAAATTCTGCAGAATTCTTTTCACTGAGGAGACTTATGGAGCAACTTGTTTTTGAGACTTACATTGGATTGGGAAAAGTGAATTTGAAACCTGTGGAAAATACCTAGACTGCGTAAAACTCACATTTGATTTTCGTAACAAGATTGAAATTCAGTGCAGGCTGGGGGAAAGACTAAAGAGAAAAGATGAATGAGCTTTCCAGGCAAAGTCTGGACAGATGATTTTGCATCAGAACTGCATGAATTATTGATTAAATTGGCAAGTTTTAGCATAAATGCTACACATAGTAGGTTTTCACAAGGTGTTTGTTAACATATAGGTGGCATTTGTCCACCTGTTCTGAGAAAAATATTTTCTAAAGCCAGACTCCAGGCACATACTGAACTTTTAACCTGCAAGCAGGTACATTTCAGCTCTTCCTGAGCCTTTGATAAACCAGATGCATCATGGGGCAAATCTGATCTGAGAACTTGACTAGAAGAAAGGGACTTGTATGGAATTTTCTTGCAAAGT